GGGGGGGGTGTTTCCCTCTCCCCCAGCCCCCCCCATCACTGCAGGACCTGCCCCCGCGTCTCGGGCAGTTTGAGGGCCAGGGAGCTGCCGAGGGCCAGCGCGGCCGAGGCCAGGAGGATGGGCACGGCCTTGGTGATGCCCACGAAGGAGGTGAAGATGCTGATGCCCAGCACGGCCGCCAGCTTGCACAGCGCGTTCAGGAACCCGAACGCTGTCGTCCTGGGGGGATATGGGGGGGGATGGAGGGAGGGAGAGGTCGTGTGAGGGGGGGCAACCCCAAAATAGGCACCTGGTGCCCTGAAATGGGCACCCAGTGTCCCAGAACGGGGACTTGGCATCCCCGAGGTTGGCACCCAGTGTCCCGAAACTGGCACCTGGCATCCCGAACTGGGACCCAGCACCCCAAGATTGGCACCCAGTGCCCTAAAACTAGCACCCAGTGTCCCAAAACTGACACCCAGTGTCCTGAAACCAGCACCTGGCACCCCAAACTGGGACCCAGCACTTCGAGATTGGCACCCAGTGCCCTAAAACTGGTACCCAGTGTCCCTAAACTGACAGCCAGTGTCCTGAAATTGGCACCCAGTGTCCCAAAGCTGTAACCTGGCACCCCTAAATGGGCACCCAGTCCCCTGAAACAGGCACCTGGCACCACAAACTGCGCACCCGGCACCCCAAAATGGGCACTTGGCACCCTGAAATGGGCACCCAGCACCCCGGGGCTGTCAGGCAGCACCCATCAACAGGCACCCAGCAGCTGGTAACCCCAAAACTGGCACCCAGCCCCCCTCAAACCCGTGCACCTTGTACCCAAAACCTCCCACTTGGCACCCAAACCCCCTCACACCCAGAACTTTCCACCTGGGCCCCCAGAACCTCCCACCCCAGCACCCAAAAACCTTGATCCTTGCACCTAAAACTACTCCTTGCACCCAAAACCTCACTCCTTGCACCCAAAACCTCCCTCCTTGCGCCCAAAACCTCACTCCTTGCACACAAAACCTCCCTCCTTGCACCCAGCCCCGAGGCCCCACCTCTTGTCGGAGGGGTAGAGCTCCACGGTGAGCACGTCGAGCGCGTTCCAGGAGGCGATGCTGACCCCCCCGAAGAGGCAGAGCAGGGCAATCATGGCCGACTCGCTGTTCCCGAAGGACAGGAAGAAGCAGCTGACGCAGGACATGACGCTGGAGCCGGCTGGGGGGACACAGGGACACGTCAGGACGGTGGGGACACTGAGGCAGGGGGTGGGAGGGTCGACAAGGGGGGAGGGATGGTGGGGGTGGCACACCCAGGAGGGTCCCCAAGGGGGAAATGGAGGTGGGATGATCGACCAAGGTAGGAGGTCAAGAAGGTTCCCGAGGGGTGATGGAGCTGGGGGATGATTCATCAGGATTGTCCCCAAAGGGGTGATGGAGGTGGAGGACGATCCACCAGGATTGTCCCTGAGGGGTGATGGAGGTGGGGGATGATCCACCAGGATTGTCCCTGAGGGGTGATGGAGGTAGGGCATGATCCACCAAGACTGTCCCCAAGGGATGATGGAGGTGGAGGATGATCCACCAGGATTGTCCCCGAGGGGTGATGGAGGTGGGGGATGATCCACTGGGATTGTCCCCGAGGGGTGATGGAGGTGGGGGATGATCCACCAGGAGGGGCAGGGCTTAGGAAGGTCCCCAGGAGATCAACAGAGATGGGGGTGACCCAGCAGGTGGGAGGGGGATCAGGAACATCCCCAATGGGGTGATGGAGGTGGAGTGACCCACCAGGGTGGTCCCCAAACGGGGATGCAGGTGGGGTGACCCAGCAGGTGGGGTGGGGGCTCAGGAAGGTTGAGAGCCAGTTTGGGCTGGAAGGCACCTCAAGGACCCTCAAGAGCACCTCCCACAGACCGGGCTGCCCCATCCAGCTCGACCCTGGCTGTCTCAGGGAGGGGTCACCCCCAGACCCCCTCCCACGGGGTGCCCCCCCCGCTGCCCACCCAGCATGCGCAGGCGGCCGATCTTGTCCATGAGCAGGGCCGAGACGATGTTCCCGGGGAGCACGGCCAGGGTGCCCAGGAAGCTGACGAAGTAGATCATGTAGGCGTTGTTGTCGTCGCTGAAGTCCAGCTGGCAGCCCTCCTTGTTGTGCAGGAACGTGCTGTTCACCACCCGGCTGTTGATGAACTTGTACTCAAAGAGATCTGGGGGGGGAGAGGGGGACGTGGGGTCGCTCCGTCTGCACGGCCCCCCTTGGGCACCTTCCTGAGCCCCTCCTGCCTGGTGGGTCACTCACAGCTCCATCACCCCCTTGGGGACCACCCTGGTGGGTCACACTATGTCTGTCACACCCCGGGGACCATTCTGAACCCCCCTCCCACCTGCTGGGTCACCCCGTCTCTGTCGCCCCTTGGGGGATCTCGTGGGTCACCCCAACTCCACCATCCCCTTGGGGACCTCCCTGACCCCCCCCCTCCAACCTGGTGGGCCCCCCCCATCTCCATCAGCCTCCTGGGGACCCTCCTGGTGGGTCACCCCCCCTCCACCCCCACGTGTCCCCCACCTGTGTTGTAGAAGACGGTGGAGATGAAGGTGCAGTTCTTGAAGAAGGTGTTGCTGGAGGTGATGTCCTCGAAGTAACACTCCTCGAAGAGCGAGTCCTCGAACGTCACCGACTTCATCTTCAGCCCGATGAACCTGCGCGGCGGGACGGGAGGGAGACCCCGCCGCTGCCCCCCCTGCCTCTGTGCCCCAGGCTCGGCCCCCCCAGGCTCAGCTCCCCTCCACACTCACTTGTCATTGAAATACTCGCCACCACGGTGCACCTGGTTCTCCAGGGTGAAGTTGAAGGTGAAATGTCGAACCTTCTCGCGCGTGAAGAGCTTGGTGCGCGAGGCGTACTCGATGCTCTGCAGGTGCTTGATCATGTCGGGGAACCACACAGTGAGCCCGTAGTAGCTGCGGGGACAAGGGTGAGTGGGAGCTGTGGGCCTGGGGCTCCCAGTGCCGGCCCAGGGCTCCCAGTGCCAGCCTGTGCCATCCCAGTGCCAGCCTGTGCCATCCCAGTGCCAGCCTGTGCTATCCCAGTGCTACTCATCCCATCTCATCCCACCCGGTGCTGCCAGCTCCATCTCAGTCCTGACTCAGAGCTACCAGTACCAATCCGGTGCTATCCCAGTTCTGACAGCTCCATCCCAGTGCTGCCTGGCTTCATCTCAGTCCTGGCCCAGTGCTGTCTGTCCTGGCCCAGTGCTGCCTAGTTCCCAGCCCAGCCCAGCCCAGCCCAGCCCAGCCAGTTCCAGTTCCATCCCAGTCCCATCCCAGTCCCATCCCAGTGCTGTCCATCCCATCCCATCCCATCCCACCCCATCCCATCCCAGTGCTATCCATCCCATCCCATCCCATTCATCCCATCCCATCCCATCCCATCCCATCCCATCCCATCCCATCCCA